TTATTAACTTGCTGACAAACTCAGAAGGACCAAAAGTCATCTACAAGATCTCAAGTATACAACAGAATGCTTCTAATGCATGCCTGCTACTGGGTTTTTGTAATAAGAAAAGTGTAGCTTTGCTTTGAGGCATATATTATAGAAGCTTGCAATTATTTTGAAAAGCAAGAAAGCAACATGAAACTATAATTAGGAAGATTAAAAGGGACACTCGATTGTCATTCATTTAAATTCTCATGTACTGTAATTTTATTATATTTTTAGAGAAATGTTTATCTTATAATTAGAAAATGAGTTAGAAAACTTCCATCTTCATTGGAACATCAATGCAAATGTGGTGATTGTCAGATCCGGTCTATTTGGAAGGGTTGCTCACAGTTTGTACAGCAAACACAGCCCAGTGTGATAGACATGATTGCAGAGGAGCAAATACAGTGCTGAAACAGCACATGTGGAGCTATGCTGTGTGACGTGGCCAATGGTGATGAAGAAGAAAGTTACAGACTGTGAGGAGATCAAGAGTCTTCAACAAGCCCGTTTTTCACTTCAGCACTCTGTGGACATTGTGCAGTTGGATGTTTCATTCAACACATCAAATGTTGATGTTTTTAACTTTCGATATGTAGAAAATGTAGCCCTAAAATGTTCCTGTAATACCTGTATATAGGCTTAGCGTCTAAAGTAGATAGTTTCTGAAAAAAAAACTTATTGAAACTACATATACAGTAAATGCTGGTTTTACAGTTTCCAGTGCTATCAGCATTTTTAAAGTCTAGACCCAATGAAGACAAAACATCCTTGAGAGGAATGAATGGCCTTAAATTTCCAGAATCAACAAAGCATCGACAACCAGGGTTCCCTTGGTTACAGTTGAAATGAGAGTCATATTCAATGCACTGTTTTAAAGATCAGAGAATAGCGCTCTTTAGGAAACCTGCTGTCCTGATACTTTTATTAAAAGGGTTTGATGTGTTTCTGAGAGTGATAAATTGCTCTGGTAGGACTGTGTATAAGTATGATTGCCAATTGTGTCTCTGACTTTTTCCTAACAGAATATATGACTCACTGTAAGATTGATTTTTGGAAGCACTACAAAGCACTGTGAGGGTAAGCACTAATGGCAGTGTTTCAAAACGCTCTTTCTTCAATTCGTGATTCCCTGTTAGGATTTAAGGGGAAAAGATAAGAATTCCATTGAGTATTAATTTGATGTATTGTAGCTTTTTGCAATTAAGATGCTGCTCTATAACCCCTTGTTAGGTTTGGGCCATTTCAGGTTTTTGGCCTTCATTTTAAAGCATTTGCATGTATTCCATATTTGTTCATTTTTTCTATAGCTTCTAAAAGCTGAAATGCCTCAGACTGCTACAGTATAGATAAGAGTCTTAGCTGTTTCGAGTGCCCTATACTGTACGATTTCCTTTCCTATAACTATATCCTATACTACTATAACTATGACTGTAGCCAATGTTACAGTATATACCTCTGATGTAAACGTGCTATAGGTCACATAGCAGTGCTCGGTGCACAAGCCCAGGAGCATGAAGCATCGATGTGGCAGTATTGCTACTGGCCTACTCCACCCTATGGACATGACTGCATATGCGGCTGTTAGCAGCTCAGTGTGACTGGGATCTGAGTCAAGCAGTCAGCCAGCGCCTCGTCCTCTCAGTACTGTTGCGTTCAGAGAGAAGGGCTCCACGCGAGACCAAGGTCGTGGCTTGTCATCAGAGGCGTGGCAGTGTTGAGGCTGTGTCATCCAAGAGCTTGGTTTGGATGCTACTTTTCATGGTACAGAACATCGGCCAGAAGAGGTTTAGGTCTCAATCTGGAATCCAGCGCCTCGGCGTCGGTGTCATTGAAGACCAATGGAGGAACGTTCTGGCCGGGCATCTTGATCAGAAAATGAGTATCTCCCATTCTGGGTGGCGCAGCGGCACAGCTGGTAGCAATGCTGCCTCGCAGGAAAGAAGGTACCAGTCAGAACATTATCCTTTTAATGTGAAAACACTTGTAGCCTGCATGAATGTCGTGCCTTCCTACCTCATTTAAAGTGTCCTTTCTATTAATTCTATTATGATTAATTTTTTCTGTTATGTAATTTGACATCAGGACCTCTGAGTTGATCTAATCATGGCCTCAATATCCATCTGTATTACATACATTATAGTGTATTATTAAACAATGATCATTTACATGACATCCCATTGACATTACACCTGAACAATTACATTTCGTTGTACTTGGGCATCCTAAGCTTTGTTGTAGCATGTCAAATACATTTACAGCAAAATGCATTTTTTGCTTTTCTTTTTCTGGCTAACAGGTATGGATTGTCTGGCCAGAGACGAAACCTTACGATGTGATCTGCTGTAGATCATGGAAGGACTGTCTCATTCTCAATCTCTTAATCTTAATTCGTAGTCAAAATGCAGCACAAGTAGATTTGTAAGTGTGCATGCTGTTTTCATTTCATAACCGTTTTCAGAAGGGGCGAGGTGCAGAAGTGAATTGATTTCATTACATGGTGCTCACACCGTTATTGGTCCCTTTAGAAACTGTTTGCAAGCCCAGC